TATGCAATCATCGATCAAGCCAATGCATCCACTGCGGATCGAACAAGCCTAATATATATGGGTGCTGAAAAATACTGACCTGACAGAAAAATACGCGCATAGGGCATCCGTCTGACAGCTGCCTGCAATCATGGGCAGCTTGCGAAAAATGAATGAGAGTGACAAGTGTTCGATGGCATAATTCTACAATCCAATCTCAAAGTGGTAAAAACGTTTTGATCACATTCGAATGACTACGCTCAAGTTTAAAGAAATATTAAGATCAGAAAGCTTGCCAGAAAAATCTGATAATAGTCTTGCGTTACAATTTTTGCGTCGGTGCATTTGTCAAAAAAAGAAGAAGGAATAAGATATTGATGATCGAATTTACCCGATCTTCACTTTAGTAATGGTTTGGCATGTAACTTTATAATATTAGGTGAAAAAAAGATGTTGAATGTTTTCGATCGCCTATGATGATGAAGCTGAACCTTGCTTCAAATAATCGGTTAGATAATCTAAATGTACACTCAAGTAAATTGTTTTATGCAAGAAAATTAGTGGGACATATATCAATTAAGAGCGCCACTTTGCTATTTGACAGGTGCAAAAAAACGACTATTGACGATACATTTTTTCGTAAGGTAGGATGCATGATCAATAATAGCCGAAACATGAGTGCGTGGGAATTCATGAATATTCCTACATGATGGAAGGTCAAACGAGTATGAAGGTTGCAGTAGTAATCTAGCGGGTACATTAATTTTATGTGTGGGATGGCTACCAGTCCAGCCAATAGCTAGATTAGGTATTAGCGCCTTGATTCCGGCAAGTATACGGTTTAATTCGGCCGTCTCTTAGACCTCCAATCAATCCATGGCTCATAACTTTCAAGCCAAGCCATACCTAGGACGAGATCATATCTCGAATCCAAATAGAGGACAAGACAGCGTTCAATGCTGTCAAAGTCCAAAAACTTTACACCTAAGTTTTACGGAACTTTAGGCATCGTGACACGACTATCGGTCGCTAAATGAACGTTGATGAAATTACCTTTATGCGCTTTGAGCGCTTTAACAATCGCTGACTTCCCTCAAGTAAACGACGTCGAGCATAATTGTATGATACTTCGGAGTCAATTAGGATCGACCAATGCTTCTCAAAGCCTTTAATCTTCGCCTCGGCGACTAACAAGCCAGGATTGTATCCAAGATCTGTGCTGGCGGGCACAGAGCTCAGCGGGGATAAGCCCTGTTTTACTTTACGTCGTAGAGAAGTGATAGAACTCAGTTTTACCCCAGTAGGGCGCCCCGCACCTTCTGGGTGTCGACGTTCCCCCTTGCCATACCAGGTTTCTGGTTGGGTCTGGGGTTTGACCCGTATGAGTCGGTTGTTGTTTACGCTAATTAAAAGTGGGACGCTAGTGTTTAGTGATTCCGCACATTTAACAGCATTTCACTTCCTGTCGTTACTCTGCAATATGACGCTTCGCTTCACCTTCATCTTCAGCATGGTTGAGATCCATCGGTTCTGGCATACTGTAGGCCGAGGCGCTTGAAGAGGTTGCCCTCGCAAAGCTTAGGTTGTGCCCATTCCAACCCAGTCTGGCCGACTTGAAGTTGTGCTCAGCGTTTTGAGCGATGCTTAAAGCTGCCTCACAGTAGAGGGATGGACCCGAAACACCTCGGTCCTGGCAACGCCATTACGAAGATCTTCCATAAGGCCAGTCACATAGACTGTTTCAGGGAAAGGATCAGAGTGCATAGTAGCCATAAGAGTTCTCAAATCTTGAACATAATTAGCTAACTCATTCTTACCCTGACGGGTTGACAAGAAGCGTGAGCTCACGCGATAAGCCTGGTTAGGCGGCGAGAAAACTCGCAAAAGGTCTAACTTGAGCGAATTCCATGTGGGAAACGCCAAGTCGACTGACGTGCCACACGTCAGAGCCCAATCTCTAGATCTTCCATCGAGCTTGGAGATAGCCAGCGAGACCCGCTGGTACTTCAGTGAGATCAAGCCTTAGCTCATAGCCATCTTTATCTCACGGACCGAGAGGGTTAGATTTTCCCCTCGTTCCCGGAGTAATATTATACGTTCACTCGGAGGGGACGAGGTTTAGCCTCTTCTGGTGGCATTGCCACGTAGAGTGTTGGCATAGCCGTCGCTATTTTGTTATAAATCTGCCCTGACAGGGCCTTTCCATAATTCATGAAGGTCTCGACTCGTGCATTAAGCACATCAGGACCTTGTGCAGCTAGACACTCCACATATTCTGGGCCTACAAACGCGGTCAGCTTGTCAAGCGCGACCTTTTGGGATCCAGAGAGGGGTGTGGATTGCTCCACCGTCATAGAGGATCAGTCGTAACGAATCAGGCGTAAATTGACTACAAGTGCTACCAAATGTAGCAGTGCTACATAGCTCTTTAAGTCAGACTAAGACTTTACGCTCAATGAGCAAATTTGGTTCTACGAACCCGACTCAGAGAGAATCAACAAGCTCAGAGAGCTTACGGTCCCTGTTCCAGGGGTACCAAACAATTCAACAGAATCAGAGCACAGAGTGCCCAAGAGCAGCTACCTTTACAGGCGTTGCTATCTCTTCCGATCAAGACGCCTTGTAAGGCACGTGTCGTATGTTGATCAAATGCGAATGAATTTTATTTCTTCTTTTAACCTAAAAGAACACCTTAGAACAAAGCAATTAACATATTCGCTAATGTCCTAAGTTAACCTCTCAAAAGATATATTAATCAATGGTTGACATACATCAGTCTTCAACAATTGATACTGTGTTCTAATATCAATTTAAAGGGGATCCCATCCCTTTGTGTGCACCACAAATATTGTCGACTACTAGCCGACGTGTAACTCCGTAATACCACTGGTCATACATCTTATTCTTGGTGTAGAGAGGTACGCTTAACCAATCTATATTTTATGATACTAGCACGCAGACTCAAATCGAGGTCGTTGTACTTAAACCTTCGTCGATCTGTATTCGTACGGCCAAGCCTTCTTGGAATTTGAGGGGACGCATCCTGATTCTTTCCACCTAGACTGGACAGATATCAATGGCGTCATTCAAAAGAGTGACTTTGTCGCACTTGCATCGACACAGTGCAACCTAATGAAACTGACCACAGTGTAAGTCGGTGCTCGATACTTCTCGCACACGCAAGTGCAGAGGAACAGTTATCGATCAAACAAAGGTGCTAGGCAAAGATTACAAGTCAAATTGTGTGCAATCTCCAAATTAGGCCTTATAAAATATATATGCTGTTGATCTTATCTAATGTATTGAACTATATGTACGTGATATAGCTACCTGCTTTTTATCATTCTGCATGTCTAGTAGCTACCATTGGATGAGTTTGTTCACACAATGGCGTCTAAAAACCGATGTTAGAGGAGTACAGAAAATCACCAGCGGTGGTAATATATTCAACCTTATGACTAATGTAGTAAATATTGATGAATAATAGTTATAGTGCGAATATTTATTATGACCAAATTCAATGTCGTTGGTGTGAAGGGGCTTACCCTGTTTCATAAAGAGTGTTGATCGAACGACGACAACACCTGATCAAGTGCTTACATTCAGCCACTCCGATCGGGATCGTTGTGCAATTAAGCGTGTCTGTGTCTTGACCCGAAGTTTGTGAGTCAATAAGAGCAACGCCTGTCTTCTTATAGGTTGCCATCGTACATTTAGATGTAAGCAGCTTTTCTTATTATTACAAATTGTAGTAAAGTCACGAAGGGGTCTCCTGCTTGTGATCGACCAGCTTGAACAACTGTTGCATTGTGTGTCGAATCGTAGTATCTACGTCGAAGAGTAGTAGACGGGGTTGCTTGAGTCGAAAGCTGACGTTATAGCCAACGCGCACAATCAGATGCAACAGAGAGAGTGCGTTAAATTTTGGAGCATTTCCTAGCTAGTTGCAAAATCTCGCGGCATGAGCAAATCGTTAAATCGGACCACCACAATTAATGAGCGCAAACACGATACCTTAAACTGATATTTGTTCGGCACCTCTATTTGTCGTCCTTCAAGCACACTATTCAACAGAAACAGCGTGAATGCAATCAAGAGTTTTTGACTGCACATGTGTATAACTTTTGGTCAATATGTCCCAGTAACGGATTGCGTCGCTGCAACGGAGGACAATGTCTAGCTGTGGGAGCTGAGAAAAACAAGGACTTTCTGCAGTACGAGGAGGCTGGACAAAAGAAAAGAATGATGCGCCTCTATCTTTTACTTTAACACCATATAGTTGCAGTTGCTGCCTGTACACAAGTAGAGAAAAAAGAGACCCTTCACGGTGTGCTGCATACTTTGCTAAGCGTCGCTCAGTAGAAAAGCTCGATATGGCTATGGTATCGACATTTTCTGGCAGACGTCGTGGCAAATACGTCGGCGTGAACATTTGCTGATCAATCAGCGATGCAGTAGCATCATAGCGGCTCGCTTTTGATCTTTATCTCAGAAGCGTAGGAACGCGACGGATCAACAGCTGCACTTCTCGATCTCTTCTCCAAAGCATCGCAACCACGCTGTCACTTGCTCAAAAAACTTTCGTCGCTCCGCGAGGCGGTTGATGTGGGATTTTTCAAATCTACCGACAGTGATGTTGAAAGACACATTTGCGATCTCCGTCGAAAAGAGACCGGATGATGCATGCGCCCACGGCCGCGCCTTCATATAATACATAGGCTTCACATCCGGTTTGTAAAGTAGGATGTTATCGCTTTTGAGGTATAACATAGGCACGTCGTCGTTCTGCACCCCATCTTGATGGATTGGAAACAAGTGTGCCGTGTCACCACACAACGTTGACTTCTTAGGACCGTGGTCCTTAAGATTCGTGCCCACCGCTGCCGTCGCGTGATCTGAAAATTAGCACTGCGTCTCGGCAAACTCGCTCGCGTAAGAAACAGCTCCTTATCACCGTATGATGGAGGTGACACGATGTCGTTTTGTGCCACAAACGACGCCATAATTACAGTCGCACGCGGCTACTGCTTCTTGTCCAGAATCAGCATCGATGACTCCAGTTGGTAGCCTGCGCGGCGATTGAATGAATGGCTTTTCAGCAGAAAATGGCTGGGCTCAAACTTCAGCTTCACGGGCGTCTTGTTCTCAACTGTTGCTTTTGGCCGCTGAAGTGTCGGCAACGCCTGGAACGGGGTCATGTCAAACTCCGAAAAGTACTTCTACTCCACCGATAAGTTACGATCTCCGACCACCGGTTTGGCCATAAGTTTTTCCAATCGTCACTGATGCGATCGTGCATGAAAAAAGTACCTGTTGCGGACTCGAACACCGCAGTAAAATCGATAAAGAACGTTGTGTCGGCGCCGAGCAGCACGATCTACTCGAACTGTGAGTAAGTAACTGCCAGAGGCTTGATCGTGAAAGATTGGGACTTAGTGCGGCACTCGTCAATGTCCGCGCAAAACACTGGACGTGTAGCGTTCATGACACTTTTGGCTTTGGCAGCCAGACTGCATATATCGTAAGCGCGAATTTCTTCCAACTCCTTTTTTGATCGAATCAGCTCCACGGTCTCAGGCTTCAGATCGCTGCAATACGGTACTTCAACAGGCAAGCTGATGCCCATACTTCGCAGCTCCAGGATCAGCGAAAAGCCCATCCGAGAGATGGGCTTATAGAGCGGCATGGCGATGCCACGCTTCGTTGTTGTACGCTGTGTGATCTGACTCAGGATGGTAAACAAGCTGCTTCTCCATCACCTGCGTCGTGGACGCAGTTTAGTCAGTATGTGCGGAACAGAATGTGCGGCGTCAGCTGATTCTTGCCTTCTCTCGCCCACAATCGACGTCCGCAATAGTTTGACAATAGCAGCATTCGGCTCGTCCAGATTGTCTGGCTTTTAGTTCGTAACCCGGTTCCATGCGTCCGCCTCTTCGCAAAAACGCTGTCGCTTGGCCAGCGCCTCTTTTCCTCCTCGGACAGCTTTCCGATGGTAATGTCGGAGAAGCAAACTTGTTTGCGTTTACCAAACGGACCCGGATATAATTTCCACGGCCTCGCCTTGATATGATAAACAGGCTCCACTTCCGGTGTATAGAGTAGGATGTCGTCGCTGTGAAGATAAAACAACGGGACGTCGTCGTCAGGCACGCCATCATAGTGGATCGGGAGCACTTGTGCCATGTCACCACACAAAATTGACTTCTTTGCACCACCGTCGGTACGCTCTGTGCCGACCGCACTGACGGCATGATCCGAGAACGCATACTGCGTTTCGGCCAACTCACTTGCAAAGAAAAAGTACTCCTTGTCGCCAGACGAAGGGGGAGCAGCAAAATTGTTCAGCGCGATGAACGATGCCAAAATCGCAGTTGCTCGTGCTTGTCTCTTCTTGTTCCACAACACCAGAGACGAGTCAACTTGGTGACCTGCGCGGAGATTGAACGAGTGGCTGCTCAAAAGAAATTCGCTTGGCTCAAAGTTTAGCGGCAGTGAGGACGGGTTTTTCGACGTAGCTTTTGGCCGCTCGATCGTGGAAAGTGATCGGAACGGCTTTATGTCGGACCTCGAAAAGTAATCTTGCTCTACGGAGACATTGGGCTTTCCAGGTACTCGCTCCGGCATAAACGACTTTTCGTTACTTATTCTGTCGTGCATCAGGAAAATGCCCGTCTTGTTGTACTTATCCGAATCCCATAGCTTGAGCGGGACTTACAAAGAACGTCGTGTCAGCGTCCATCATCATGATTTCTTCAAACTTTGAGAACGCAACCGCTAGAGGTTCGATAAGCAACTCGCGAAACTTAGCGTAGCAGTATTCGACCCTTTCGCAAAATACGCTGCGAGACGGGTCGACGATGCTTGTCGTTTCTGCCGCCTTTTTACATATATTATAGAACCGCATTGTGCCTAGCTGGTTCTTGGCTAGGTACAGTCGCTGAGTATCTACGTTCAAGACGCCACAATACGGCATCTCTATTGGGTCCGAATTGCCGATGCCACGCAGCTCCAAGACAAGAGACATAGCCAACTTGATATTTCCATCGTGTCCCGGAACCACGATCCCGCGCGTTACGCTTGTTTGTTGTGCAATCTTATTCAGCGTACGGACAAGCTGTGTCTCCTGTTCACGAACTCCATCCACCTTACTTTTCAACTTTCTCGTCTTGCCCTCCTTTGTCAAGATCGCTTTCCAAGAAGGCAACAACGTCGTCAATTAGTCGACCTTCTGATTCCAGATTCATGACTGCGTCAAGTTCCTTGTTCGTGAGTGCATCAGCCGCCATGCGCTCGACAATGTCATATTTGTTCGCGTTGACTTCCCATTCTTTGGCAATTCTAAAGAAGCGTTGCCTCTGGTAGACCTGCTGTACCTCAGCATCCGAGAACCTCACGCCCGTGATGTCAAAGGGACACCTCATCTTCAACTTCCGCTCGTTAAATGAACCGGGATAGAAATCGTGTGCACGCGGCGCGGCATAGTACATCGGTGATTTCTTGGGCTTGTACCGCATCATGTCGTCCGCATTCATGTAAAGCAGACGTGACGTCTGGATAGAAGCATTCTCAGATCTCTCCGGAAAGGTGTGCGACGCATAACCGCAAACCACCGACTTGTTTGGACCGTAATCTCGAAAGTCTGAGCCAGCAGAACCTGTGGCAAAGTCTGAGTACGCATACTGACTTTCCGCGAGCTCACAGGCTACAAAGAAGAACTCCTTGTCACCGTAGGACGGTGGGTGTGGCACGTCATTCCGCGAAACGAACGAAGCCAGAAAAGCTGTGGCACGTGGCTGCCGCTTTTTATTCCACAACAGTACCGACGAGTCCACACTATGCGCAGTGCGTCCTTGCCAAAAGTGACTTCTAAGGAGGTTTTCACTCGGCTGATAGTGTAGCGTTGCGTTCGACTTGTCGGCGGCAATCAAGTCGGCTGGTGCCTTGGGACGTGCAAGCGTTGGGATGTGGCGGAAGAGGTCGACATTCATTTTGGACAGGTAGTTCTCGATCGCCATGCTATTCGGCCGATTTGCTGGCCTGAATGCAAGCCCCCTACGAAAATTAGGCTCAGCAATTCGATCGTTGAAAAAGAGAGTGCCTGTCGTTTGGAACTTTTTCGTATCCCACAGCGGCATCAGCGACTGGAACAGCAACGCGTCGGCATCGATGAGCATGACCTCTTCAAAGCGAGAGAAAAGCACGCCCAGCACTTTGACATAAAAGCCCCGAAAACGGGCGTGGCACTTTTTCAAATCAGCGCAGAACAGCGGCTTGCTGGGGTCCAGGACGCTCTTTGCAGCTGCCGCACGGTCGCACACGTTGTACACGTATAGCTCCCCCAAGTGCTCCCGTTTTGTCATGAGTATTTCTCCATACTGTTGGTCAAAGTCGCCACAATGGGGAATTTCAATCGGCAACTCCACACCAAGAGACCGCAGCTGCAGAATCAGTGACACACCGAGCGTCATGATTTTCCCAAACAGCGGAATCACAATGCCGCGCGGCATATTCGTCTGCTGGCTTAGCGTAAGCAGCGAGTAAAGCCACTTCGTCTCGAGCTTTCGCTCCAGCTCAGTCAGCTGCTGTGGCGCTGTCGTCTTCTGCTCCGCCATAGCGCCATCACCAGCCGTCTTCTGCTCCGCAACAGCGCCAGCGTCAGTCGTCGATGTAGACTGAAGGAGTCCGTCCACGTTCACAGAGTCGTTGGCTCGGGCCACGGCGTCGTGGGTGGCTAACGTCGTGGCGGACGATCCGCCGCGTGTCCACGACGTGGGCGGAGAGAAGGGCAGCAGCTGCCACGTAAGGAGCACGTCGGATAGCACTACGATGGCGCCGACAACGAGCAGCGCGAAGACCCATCGCCGCAGTCGTTTGGAGCCGGGGGCCGAGGAGTCGGTCATGCGCTTGAGGAGATGCAGAGTGACGGTCAAAGTGGGCTGCGTGTAGGTGGTGTCTTGTTGGAGAGTGCGGATGGCTGGACGCCTCGCTAGGGGTGCGGGAAGCCAGCTGATGCAAATCAGGGCGGAGTGGACGAGATATTTCGTTAATATGAAATATTAGATTGTACAGGGAAACATACAGTGGATAGTTTCAATACCAAGCAAGTCAATCAAAATGGCGAAAGCGACAGAAAGTTAATGTCGAACGGAACTCGAAATTGAGCATGCTTACCATCATGACGCGTGCATGGACCAGTCGATGGCACAGATAGATGATCTAGAAAACGGAACAAATAGTCGGCTGACATACTTACTCAGGTCTGCAGGACTGGGCGTCGCATTATACAGGAGCCAAAAGCTCTCAAAACATTTTTTGCACCATTCTCCTGCGAGCCATCCCCTCTTAAATTAAATTTGAGAGGAACACTTGCGTAACGAGCGCTTGCAAGCGTCCACGTATTCGTTGCCCCTTTTCTGAACGAACATCGTCGCCGCCAAGCAATCTATGTGAAACTTATGAGGGAGAGATACAAACTTACAACACAAGATGAGAAAACGATAAAATATGCATTAGCGCTGTATGCACTCCGCTCGAGCATGTGCATGCTTTGATGCACAAAAAACAATGCACTCCGATCAGTGGCATGGGAACGACAAAGCAATTAAATGAGATTAAGCATCATCGATAATTTCATGTTGTCGGGTTGACTTTCGTATGTATTGGTAATTACGTGCAACATCAGGAGAGTTGACATAAAATAAGTGTACCACAGGAAACAGAGCCTCTATGACGCAAAATCAGCAATCTGTTTCCAACATATTCCATCCGATTATGGTGAAGATGTAGCATACTGAAGTAAGCCAAGGTCAGGATGAGAGGCCTGGGGCACGGACGTACCTCGCGCATGTTGTCTTCCTATTTGCGGGTCGAAAAAAAGTACATCCTCATGACAGCATATAACCTGTAGCGGAGCTACACAGCTCTATGGTCAGAGGAAGACGTTACGGCTTATAGCCGTGGCTTACAGCCTCTTTTGTTCTACATAACAAAGTGTAAACGACCTAAGAGACCACCAGTCCTAAGGAGGGGCTCTAATGTCACAACCAAAAGCTCACCGCTTCTTACGAAGTAACAGCACTAAGTGCACACGTGTAGCACGACCACAATATTTTGTATTCAGTCCTTTTTCAGAGGAACTGAGATTTATTTATGCTCCTATTTTAAGTAACACTTGTCCTAAGTACCCTTTCTTAGGTTAAGCGAGTTCACATAGTACTCATCGTATCAGACAGTGATCAGTGGCTGAAGAGTCAGTCTGTCATTATTTGATGACTGACAGACAGACCAGTCATGAACTCAGCGACCCATCAGCCAGTCGTCAATGTGCCTCGTACTTAGCAATAGATCAATTTTAGAACAATATCCAATAAGGTACGTTATCACCAAGTAAATAAATATTACAGATAGTAGATCGAAGGCCCACACTTGATACCGTCGTGAGGGCTTGCTGATTATATATATTCAAATATAAATGTATATATATATTCAAATATAATATGAATAATAAATTAAAACCAATAACTGACGTGTGCCCTCGTTATATAATTGAAATTATACTGACCAACACTAAACACCCAACCACCAGTGATGTAACGTTTTCAGGCTGTTACGTGTCGTTGACACCTCATTGGATCTTAAAATAATATTATCAATACACATTATTATTCAACTTTCTTTATCAAGTAAATACCATCGGTATATATTACCGTCGGAGGAAATGTTCGGCAACGATCGCTCTTTGGTTGATAGAGGCTATTTTCTGAACCAACTACTACACTAGTAACTACTATACACGCGCAATGAATGGTAAAAATTGATAGTTATATCGCCATTGTGTAGTTTAACCAATTAGGTGTAAGATCTATGATATCTACTTTGAGATGCTAAATTTTTATAGCTTCAATCCACTTCAAATTGCAATTTATTACATCACCGTTGCTATATGATAGGTAAACGTTTCTCTACACTTACGTTTGCATCAGGTATTCAGCCCTGACTTGCACTGCGGTCTATATTAATAGCTTGTATTGTGTCTACAAAAGCTTTCAGTCCTACGTCGCAACTCGTACGCTCAGCAACCACAGATGATTCCATACAACATGAATCTCATGGGTAGTATAGAGTAATTTCTTAAGCGTACGTAAGGGCTTCTCCTATCTAAGTGATTAAGGGTGGAAGGCCGTCGAATGGATGTGTATGACAATTAGTAGGGCCTGCAGTCGGTTCCATGGCAGGAAAGTGATCGAGAATTCTACAACGGAAGGACGAATCGCGCTCCGGTAAGGATCTACTTGACAACTGATAGACGGAGATAGTCACACGAGCTACGACGAACCCGTTGTAATTTGGGAAGGGTATATAATGAAATCGGCTTCATACCTGATGTCGAGGGGTGATGGGAATGGAAATGAAGTATATCATGTGATCCGTGACACGCGATCAAGGACGAGATCGATACACACCGGATTGGTACGTACCACATCACACCACGCGATCAGGAGTGTACATGTGGTGGGCCACGACGTGCAAAGAGACGACCATCAGGGATATACGACTCACGACAGCAGGTCCGAAGTTTCTGGTCAGCATAGTAGGAGTTCGTGGATGATTAGTTAAAAATTAAACAGAATACAATTTGCATTTAATGACACTTGTTGACTTCTCTTCCGCGTTAAACTATCGGCTACCCGACGTCAGGTAAACTCAATAACCTTAATTAAGTAATGTTTGTGGACAAGCGGATCAAGAAGTGTGGACCACAGATCTAGCTGCGACTAAGTACCAGTTTTACTGTAGGTGTGATCTACACAATGAGGTGCACCACACACCGCGGTCTTGGGAACGCGATCTTGGATGATCCGATCCTGGGGGAGTGATCTTGGATGATGTGATCTTAGGTGACGCGATCTTCGGGTGACGAGGTCACGTTAATCTAGCGTGGACCGCCGAATACGATGAAAGATTTAATTTCGACAGCACAATGCGCCACGTGGTGATCCGTCCTAACACACGGAATATGCTTATCCAGTCGTTTAGGTTTTGGTTGGGTAACTTGATCTGGGAAATTAATAGCTTGTAAGTGCGCAAAAATCTTTCCTCTTTCCGGGTAGGATAATCTGGCCTATTCACGTTCGAGGAGATCGACCGAATATCTAGAAGATCACTTCTGGGTTATTTGGATAGGAGTGCAAGATATCTCCAAACACCTTCATCTGCAATCAGACGCAGAGGTCAAGATCGCGGGACGGCTCAAGTGTGGTCAGAAGGCGCGCAATCCGAGCATCATCTTTCGACAGAGACCTTGTAGAGATCAGGATGACTCATATCAAGCACCCTACAAGCGCGCACGTGTTCGTGTGAAGATTTTCATACGCTCACCTACCCATCTCAAACACGGTCAAGATTTCCATCGACACGAGTCCATCTGGAAGAGTGCCGCCTTACCGACGGGTAAACGACGCGAGAGAGGAATCAAGCACGGAAGCAAGCACGGAAGATGATTACCCTTCCGATAGTTGGTCTTCTGGGCGCCAGTGGGGTTTCGGAATCACAAATAACTTCATATCAACACTTCAACACATTAGTGCGCGTGCCCGGTTCTCCTGGTGACTCGGATATTCACCGTGAGTCCTTGAGTGAAGATGTGAAGATTAAGAAAAGATTTCGGATAGAAGCGTCAGAGGTAGAGTAATCGCCTTAGACACGGGATACCACCATCTCCGAATCAGAGTTTTGAGAGGGGATCTGATAACAATAATATTTTAAGAGAACGATAGAGCTATCGATCTGGAAGGGAAACATCGACCCCCTCCTGGTTTTTTGGGGATCAACGCGGATCGTGCTGCACCGTAGGAATCACACAGTTAAACCAGTTGGTCATAACTAAACAAGAATAATCCAAGATTACTCTTGCAAGGTCGAACAAATAGAAATAGAAGTCTACGAGGGTGAAGGAAGAATCAGACGGACTAAATCCACACGATCATCCTGGAAAAGTGATGACACGACCGGTCAAGTTCATAAAGGGTAAAGGGAAGATGGAAAGTTGGTAAACGGATCAGCTGGCGGCGGAATAACATTGGAAGGAAATCCTTAGGCTGCTTTTCAGTGACCCAGAACTCCAAGTAGTGAATTCTAGTTGTTTGAATGATTTAAGCCCTGCTTCATTTCATCCATAGCAGCAAAAATACTGATTAATATACAGGAAACATGCAACTTCTGCATGACGCGGGATCCTTCACACGGATCTTTGATGTGAAGAAGCTGTTGGGTTGTGAACAAGATCAAGTGAACCACGCGTGTAGGTCTCTTTATGATAGGTTAATTTCGTCGACGGGAAAATTAAGTTCGAGACACAAGGGAATATGGATATCACGAATACATCGAGAGGATCCCACACCGGATCATGGCAGCAACGCATCAACGGATTCGAGACCGAATTCGATGACTCGACCGGTAATCAGTGGATGTTACTAAGTCCAAGTAGGATACGAATTTGCTTGATCGCGCCAAAGAAACCAAGATTGGTCAGCGATCATCGCCCATATACACCAACAGAGATTGGGCATCGATTATTAAAGGACCTGTGAAGTCATACATATGGAAAACTCTGGACAGATTCCAACAGGGGCAACGAAATTGAGATTTATAATCAATCTATACAAGTCAAACAGTCTAGATGACAAGAGCTGAAGATACATGCCTATAAGGTAAAAATATTGAGACATATGGATTGCATCACGCTCGATCTGACCTGCGCAATTGCTATGGTCGCGAATTGTACGATTTTTGACATGGTAATCTGAGGCGTCCATTACTGATATCCACGGAACCTTCACGAAGTGGTGGGACACTTCCACAGCGCCTTCGAATTTCGGTGATCACAGAACAGAAATAGTTG